TGATTTTTTGTACGGCTCATGAAACGCTGGACAGGACCACAAAGCGTTGTGCTTAAATGTAAGGTGTGTATATATATATATATATATATATATATATATATATATATATATATATATATATATATATATAGGTGTTTGGGTGCATTTGTATTTTTGTTTGTGTTTGATTGTTTGTTTGTTTGTGTGTGTGAACGTAAATGTGTAGGCGCCAGTGTGCCGCCGGGACAGGGAGAGAAAGAGAGGGAGGGGGATAGCCGTTTTCCCAACGCTACTTTTTCGAATTTATTATATAAACGACGTCGAAGCGTTCAGTTGAACAAGGAAAAGTGATTACGAATGCGGATTCTCAATGCATCGTAGCTTTGACTGTGTTGCTTTAAGATGACATACTTTTATTTAAATTGACGATTTAGGAAAATAAGGAAAACTATAAGATTTCACAGCTAGGCTGAATAGATATACCCATAGCTACTGCAGGTGGTTTTCTAACGTTTGATCCTGACAACACAAACTAGAAAAACCTTTGCAAAAAGTTTAAGAAAGTACGGCTTTTAAAAAATCCGTTGCCACATCAAGCGAGGCATACTAGAAAAAGAAAGAATAGAAGAACGCGATGACATAAAAGTTGCGGGTGATGCACAGTATCGGGTTCAGTGGCTTTTAATGCCATGATGGCTTCTTCGTCCTCAAAACACATCGTGCTTATCTGCTTAAACACCTCCACCTTTCCCCAAACTGCGAGACCTTTTCCCATTTGACATACGGCGAGCATCAAGTCAACAGTGTGGGAGCCAGGTGCTTTGATGTAACCGTAAGGTGCAAAGCCCCGTGTGGGTTCTCTGAAAGAGATGTATTTATTATTCCTATTTTTTAACCTTTTTGGTTTTTGGTCGACGGGTGTCTTAAAATAGATTTCTGATTTGTTCTGAACCGGCGTCTGTGGTGTAATGTATGGGATACACGCCTTGCTGTTGCACCCAAAAGACGCAGGTTATATTACTGTGAGTCTTATCGTCTTTCTGAAAGAATGCTGTATTCCACTGAGCCCGGATTGGACTATTAATTCGGCTAAGTGGAAGTAGATCATCTCCTAAATGATCAAAATTGAAGGAGGGAGGGGGGGGGGGGTCAAACTTTCAAAAACCCACCATTTCAATAGTTCTGAAGATATAACGTAGCCATCTAAGGTAAGCAGGTGATTATGATGACGTTCAAAGTACAAGGTAGCTCCCTTGGCGCTAGACCTATATCAAAGGAGGAGATTTCATTCTTACGTGAAGACAAGAGAGGAATAGTCATATTTCAGGCAAGACAAGGAAGATTCAGAACTCACCACGAACTCGGACCTGGGACTGAAATGACAATGTGTTGGTCATAGTCGCTTTCAATAAGCCACAGAATCCTGTAATAACGAGTTAGTGAGGGTAGACGCACTGTAACAAAAAGAATAAAAACGCCCACGTATGAGGTAAACAACTGACTGTCGTTGTCAGGGCGGCTGAGACGAACTAAAAAGTACATTGGATTGAACTGAGAATTGTTCAGCTTAGTATGGGGGGAATAGGACGCCACAAGAGCGGAGAACGACTCCAAAGACGGTTTCCAGCCTAATACAAAGATAAGATCTTTTTCTTTTTCTTTTATTTTTGGTTTGACAGAAAACAGAGCAGAATTCTAGACTTTCTAACATACACTGACTAAGGTTAATGGTTATGCTCTCAGACTGTTCCAATGACATAAAAAAGACTAAACGATTAACTCAGTCTATCCTCGTCCATACAACCAATCAAACAAACACGTACATGTATACAAACAGAAAAGCACGCACACACTGTCATACATACACACACTGTCATACATACACACACATACATAAAAAAAATTGACAACGCACACATACACATACACATACACATATAAAAACAAATAATACTCACAAGCGACATACAAGCGACGCGAGTACACAAAAAAGTTATCTCAAATCCCTGCTTACAATACATAGATAAACAACGCACTAAACGGCTTGGGCATCTGTCAAGACTACCGCCAGACAATATTATAGCAGCGAAAGCGTACAATCAGAAATCAGACGGGACAGAGGAAGGGCAGGCTCAGGAAAAGATGGACAGAGAGGGTCAGAGAAACATTAGTCAAGAAGAACATAAGCATGCAACAGGCCATACAACAAACAAGGGACGTTTGCTTCTTCCCTCGACATCACAAGGTAACAGAGACAGGAAAAAGTAAAAGTAAGTAAGTAAGCATGATAATATAAAATGAAACAAAATATTAATATCAGTGCCCGTGGCAACATTTATTTATTGCAATCAGATTGCCAAAGACGCCTTTCACAGGCATGTGTAAACCATCTTGACGTATACAATTTTTCCTTCAGTTATTTTTACCATACTCCTAAAAAAATAAACCCTGAGGGGAGAAATGCCACCCCCCCCACCCCCTCGTTTTCTTCTTTTCCAAAAAAAAAAAGAAGAGAAAAAAAGAGAAAAAAAGAGGAAAAAAAGTATGTGTTTCTAAATAAGATGTTCCAAGCCTCATAACGCTACAGGTACTTTTCTGCAATGATGATGATGATGTTGATGATCAGGAGGAAGAAGAGGAGGAGGAAAAGAAGAAGAAGAAGAAGAAGAAGAAGAAGAAGAAGAAGAAGAAGAAGAAGAAGAAGAAGAAGAAGAAGAAGAAGAAGAAGAAGAACAACACCAACAACA